TTACCCATGGAACCATCCGCCTGCACTGGGCTGGCTTCTGAGCTTCTTTCTTTCTCCTCCTTCCGCACCCTGGAGGGGGAATCTTGCTGCTGACTCTGGAGTAAAATGCCGCCTCTGTTTGGGAGACAAAGAACAAAGTGGCTCCTCCGGTCAGCTGTCTCTCCTTGGCTCCCCCAGGCATCTATGAAGAGGGCTACCCTGGGAGCTGCTGCCCTCCCCACCACGTTTACACTGGGGCTTAAAGGAATACTTTACCTTAAAAAATCCCAAGTAGTTTTTCTTCTCGGGAAGGAAGATATTAACTTGCCTGGGGGAGGTGAGGCCGTGGGGGGTGCCCCGGCTGGGTAGGCAGTCTGGCCTCTGTATTCCTGCTAGTAAGAGCATGCGTGTGAAAATGTGTGAAAGTGCACACGTGTGTGCATTCACTAGTGTGAGATCACGTGTGAAAGTGTGTACTCTGGTTTAAAAGAATGTGTGTACTAGAGTGTGAGAGACTGTGCATGTGAGCATGTGGAAGTGTGCGTGTGTACTACGGCACCAGTGAAGCGTTTGTGGGAAAGCATGTGGGTGCATGTGTAAGGTGTGAGAATGTGCAAGTGTATACATGTACCATGTACTAACTACAGTGTATAAAAGCATGTGTGAAAGCATGCGTTAGATGTCAAAAAAACGTGTGCTCGGGTTTGTGGGTGAAGGACAGCAAGGAGGCATGTCAGTGTACATGTGAGGACTGACTATGCATGTGGAAGTTTCGTAGGACTGGGGTTTGAGGATGTGTGTATTGGAGATTAAGTTTAAATGCAAACGTATGTAAGTACGCACCAGTGTGGGAATGCGTTCGAGTGTACTAATTAGGGCACGTGAAAGGGACTTGTGTACTAGTGTGAGTCCGTGCACGAAGGTATGAGCATGCGTATGCGTCGGTGGGCGAGGGCGCACGTGTGCGGGGCCTGCGGAGCCGGACACCCAGGACACGGTTTGAGCGGAGCATGGGTAGTTGCGGAGTGGGCGGCCCCGCGCTTGAGTGTGAGTGCGCGCGTGAGACTGTGCGGGAGCGTGTGCTCACGCGCACCGCCGCCCCCCGCCGGGTCGGAGCCGGTTGCCATGGGAACGCGCCGCGCCTGGAGTTAATCATTTCCTGTGGAAAGTGTGCGGGAGGGGCGGGAGGGGCGGAGCGGGGCGGGCAGAAGAGGCGGCGGCGTGGAGCTGCCTCCCGCCGGCTGGCCGGGCCGGGCCGAGCCCCCGGCGCTGCAGCGAAGCTGGGATTCTGTCTCCGCCAGGCCGGTGAGTCGGAAGCCCGGGCGGGCTGGGCGCGGGATAGGCGCCGGGGGTCCGCCCGGTCCGCTCATCCGGGCACCGCGTCTGGGCCCACCCTACCCGCGAATCCCCCTGCCCGGCCCCGCTGAGGGGCGCGGGGAGGACGGCCCTGGAGACCCCGCCCTGCGCGGCCCCCCGCCGCCCGCACGGTCCAGAGCCGAGGACCTGGTCCAGAGCAGGGCAGGGGGCGGCACGTCCCCTAGAATCCGAGCAGCCTCGGGACCCCCGGTTCTATTCCATTGGCCTGGGAATGCCGGACCCCATCGGGAAACTGCGTGTCCGTCAGCGCCGCCCCCTCCCTTTGCAGAGGTCCCCCGCAACCCAGGGCTCCCGAAAAGGCTGCAGTTTCGGGGTCCTCCCACCACGTACGTTCCCTGGGCAGTTCGCTTTCCCACTCGCAGGCCCCGGGATGCGGGTCAGCCCCAAGGTTAGCGAGGAGGGCCTGGCTGGTGCCCTCCTGGGCAGTGGGAGAATTGAGCGATTGACAGCGGCAGCCTGAGGGATCCCAGCAGGGGCAGCAAGCCAGAAGCCACCTCCTTCAATCCGCAGTTGTGAGTTGGAGCACAACTCTGGCGCAGCGAAGGGCCTGGTCCTGGGAAATTTTAAAGAGGAAGCTGTGTTTAAATACTCAAGAACTCCCCTAACCCCCAACACGTGTCTCAAGGCTGTGGGTGGTGGCCACCCCTGGTCTTTTCACATGCCCTTGCTCACCCTTTCAGGCTGGGTGAGCCGCTTTCCTTGCCCAGGCATATTCCCCATGCCCTTGATAGAGTAGCCTTCTCCTTGGCCAGGGAGAGTCATGTATTTGCAAGGAATGCATCCTGGTTTTCATTGACTGGACTTAAGGGACAGAGGGTGATGAATTCTGTTGTCCTTATGGGCACTAAGGGAGCAGAGGTTTTGAACTCTGGGTTGACCTGGAAAACCCAGGATGGGTGACTGTGTGTGTAGGGGAGGTCCTAACTCCTGTCCCACCTCCCTGACCTTCTGCCTGCTCTCCCAGTGAGACTAAGCCCCCCCCCAACCCCCCCAACAGTAGTCTGGGCAGTTGTCAAGTCTGTCCCTCAGTCATTGCAATATCACTGGTCTGTGAGGAGGGGTCTGCAGCTCTGTCTCCATGGTCTGAACCCAGAGAGGTAGTGCCCCTCTCCCCAAGCCAGCCCCTCTGCGTTCACCCACCCCTGGAGGGAGATCACTGAAAAATAAAATGTTTGAGTTCTTTGTATATGTTAGTATTGTTCCGAACACTTTATGTATGTGTTATCTAATTCTTATACCGACCCTATATGGTAGAGTTCTTCCTATTTTCAGATGAAGATAATGAGGCACAGAGAGGCAGAGTAATTTTTCCAAGGTCACACATCTAGTAAGTGGCAAAGACAGATTCTGGACCAGCTCTTGGTCACAGCTACTCCAACACAATGCCCCCATGGCCCCACCCCATGAGTCCTAGGTGGGTAGCAGCCCTAGCCTTGGGCTTATTTGAGTCCTTGATGCCTTTGACCTTCACACTCCCCTTTGCTAAATTCAGCTGCTTTATCCTTTTCAGGATCTTGCACACACCCTTCCTCTTTCTTCCTGATATCTTCCTGGCTGGCTCCCTGACTTCCTTTCCAGAAAGCCACAGAAATATTGTCTCTTCCTGTCCCTGCCCCTCAGACTTAGCTGATCTCCTTAAAAGTCCCTTCCCTCAGCCATGGAATTGACCTTCAATGCCCTGTGCAGATGGAGCCCATTTCTCTCCCTCCCTCCTTGTGTTTTGGGCAGAGCTGGTCATCCAGGTTGTTTGTGTGCCCAATTCTGTGCCAAGCAGCCTGAAGAAGAGGGTGTCTTCTCCCCCTGGTTCCTTCCACTCCACACTGGCCCACCTCTAGTTCCTCAGTGGAGCTGGCCCACATACTTGGATTAGCCTCTGCCCCACCCTTTGGCCCGCAGTTCTGCCCCCAACCCAGTGAGACTGCACCTAGGAGCCTCCTCCTGCAAGTTGTCTTCCTCAGTCAAGAAAGGCAGGGACACGAGTCCCTAGTCAGGAGCCAGGCATTATTCCAGGGTTCAGCTCTGTGAACATTAATCACCATGTCTTCGGGCCACCTGTCCCTGCACTATTACTTCTTTTGTCTCTTGATGCTTCAACCATTCCTGCCCCTCCATCGACCCAGCATGTTCCCGTGGTTCTTAAACACCATGTCCTCTGGATTCAGCCTCTCCTTCCCACCCTAGCCAGACTTCCCCAAAGAGAATCAAGTGGTGGCTTCTTGTAGCCTCTGCCCATCCACTTGGTTTGCCCTCTACCTTGCTCCATGGACATTCTCCCTTAAAGAGCCCCCAGGGGCTTTTTTCCAGTTTGACCTCTCTATGGCATGGTTCACTGGGAAGTAACTATCCTCTCCTTCCCACTCACTGGTCACCTCAGAACTCTGCACCTGCCTGGTGCTCCTGCTACCTTCCTTTTCCAGGTTTCCTTCCCACCTAGAGTGAGCTGTCCTCCCTGGTGCCTCTCATCTCGTCTGACCTTTGGTGATTGCATCCTCCTCTGTGACATGGTGGCTTCCCAGCTCTGAATCTCCGTGTCCAGCCCTGCTCTCTTCCAAGCTTCAGTCTGAGCCTTTGCGTGCATTCATTTCAGGCCATTCAACCAAAAAGCCACCGCTGGACATTTGGTGGTGTAGCTGTAGTTCCAGGCTGGGTGTCTTGGGGCTGCACAGATGAACTTACTGTGAGCTCTGCCCTGGGGAGCCATAGAGGGTCAGGGGAGATGGACACCATTCAAAACCTATCTTTACTGCCTGGTAGAAAGTAGTGTAGTGGTGGACAGGGAAAGTGGTCTTCAACCCAGGTAGAACCATTAGGAAGTCCTTGGTGCCTCCAACTCCATTTTAAAACCAAAAGCAAACTCCACATTGCCTCTCTGAGCTGACTTGGCTTCATCTGTAAGTGGCATCACTATTTGTCCGAGTCTGGGACTATATCTTGGTCACCTTAAATGCCCTCAAGGCTGCTTTGCACACAATAGGTGCACAATATAAACTTATGCAATGAATGTGGAAAGTCTGTTTTGTTCATTTGCTCCCTTTATAAGGGACCTATGGAGCTTCCCTCCAGACCAGTGCTCCCCACCCACAGCTCCTGGTGCCCCTTGCAGCCTGTTGTGACTGCAGGTTTGTTGAAGTGTTTACTGCCTCCCCATAGGGAGCTTTGAGGCTGTGTTTCTCCTGATCAAAAGAGGACTCCTGGCAGGTGCTTGGCACACAACAGGCACTCAATAATTATTAAATGAAGAATGAATGAATCTTTGGATCTCAGCTCCTAGCCAGTTGCCTGCCATGTTGTAGGCATGCCGTGAAGGCTAGTTTGAATACATGAATGAACTACCTTTAAGAGAATCTGACATATAAACCTAACTTGTCACAGGCGACCGTCAGGGTCCCTTCTGATTAGATTTAGAGATGCCATTGACTCATGCTTCCTCTACGTGGGGCATGTCTTCAAGCTGCCAGGCTCCGAGGGGGCGGGGGCTGAGATGTGGAGCCACACATTGTGCTGCAGACACACTTCCAGCCTCCCAACCTGGAATGGTGACAGGCCCCGTTTCTTCCCGTGAGCCATGGGTCCTTGGGGAACATGGGGGTTGTCGCGGGCCAGCCAGGGGTCTTCAATCTGATCTCCCCTTGCTCTCCCCGCAGGCTGCCGGGCGTCCGGGGGAGGCTGCTGAGCTCCGGGCCATGGTCCAGTCTCGCCGGACCTGGAACCTGGGAGCCACGCCCTCGCTGCGCGGCCTGTGGAGAGTGGGCCGGGCCCCGGAGCCCGAGCGGGGGATGGCTCGCCCCGCCCCAGCCAGCCCCGCCGCCCGCCCTTTCCCACACACCGGCCCAGGGAGGTTGAGAACTGGTGAGTCCGCATTTTTAAAATACCTCTTTATTTCCCTTCCTTCCTCCAGATACCAGAGATGAGAGCGAGGTTGCTCGCAAGTCCCTAGGCTCAGTCAGAGCTGTCAGGTAAATTACAGGGTCGGGCAGCCAGGAGCCCAGCCAGGCGCGGAGTCAGCGTCAATCCCGCCGGCTGCTGCCGGCGCTGTCTGTCCAGAGAAGTCGCGGACGCTGATTAAACTTTAACGCGGTCCCTAGCGCAGGGGGAGAGCGCTGTCAACAGCCACGCGGTCCCAGGCCGCCCAGGCCGGGGTAGCTCTGCGGTCAGCCGGTCCTTGGCGGAGGGCTCAGGGTCTCCCTTCGGTTTCTGCCCACGACTGGTAAACAAGGTAGGTGAGGTGGCTGCCCGGCTCCCTGCGCGCCGCTGACACTTGATCCTGCCTGGGCTGGCCTGCAGATGGCGGGAGGAGTGGACTGAGGCTGCCCCAGAGCCGGGCCTGGCGGGGTTTGGGTGCTGTGCACTTGGTTTTAGGTGCCATCCAGGTGGCTTTGGTAGGGGCACCCACAGTAGGTGGGTATCAAAGGAGTCCCTGAATCTAGGCCCCCGCTGTCCCCCTGGGGAGCTGTCAACACCAGCTCTTCTTTCTGGGTCATGTCCCCTGGTGCTTCCAACAGCAAGAAGTGAGTGGCAATTCTGATTATGGGTTGAGGCTGGATCATCAGGATTGTCAGGGCTGGGGAGCTGCCCTTGACCCTTTCCCAAGTTCGGCTTGGGCAGGTCTTCCTGGAAGTGTCAGGAGAGAGGTGTCTTCAGGCAAGATGACTTCAGGTGTTTGCTGTCTGTTGTTCTTGTCCTACAGGGAAAGGACTTTAGATCACTAGCCCTTCTGAGCTAGCAGTACCCCTCATGGCCATCAGGTCCAAGCCCATTCATGTAAAGAAGGGGAAACTGAGGCCCAGAGAACTCCACAGCAAACTCCCTCTTTGGTTCCCTCTCCCACCACATTTGTGCCATCAATGGCAGCCACAGTGATGTCCTCCAAGGTCTCTCTGTAGGGGACAGTGAGGCTGGGATGACCCTGGGGACCTCCAGGAAAAGTTTGGGCTTTGGGGTCAGGTAGCCCCAGTTGTCTAGAAGGGACCGAAGATAGTCCCTACCCCACAAGATTGTCCTAAGGATTACAAATGGAATAGGAACAAGTATTGTTTTTCTGGTTAAAAAGAAAAAAAAAAAGCAAGAAGCAAAACAACCACACGTGTCCTTAAAAAACAAAACAACAATAACCCAAAACCTAAAAAAATATATAAAAAAGAAAATCAAAGCCCTGGCCGGGTTGTGCAGTTGGTGGGAGTGTCGTCCTGTGTACCAAAAGGTCACTGGTTCGATTTCGGTTCGATTCCGATTCCGGTCAGGGCGGGTACAGGAGGCAGTTGACTACTCTCTCCCTTCCTCTCTCTCTCTATAAGTCACTGAAAACGTATCCTCAGGTGAGGATAAAAATAGAAAATAAAAATCACCTACAGGCATACCTTGGAGTTATCGCGGGTTCGGTTCCAGACCACCGCAACAAATGGAGTATCACAATGAAGCGAGTCATAACCTTTTTGCTGGTAGGGGGTCTTGCTTTCAATTTGTAAAGAACAGCAGTATCTGGAGCACAGCAAAGCGATGCTTGTATAAGCTTGTCACTAACATTTTATATAGTTCCTCCTACTCTTGTGTGTGCACGTGTGTGCATATAGGTCTATAAAATGAGCATTATGAAGATTATATGACTATACACACTTTTCATCCACTTTTAAAATTTGGGACAAACGTCAAATGAAATCCAGTGTATGAAATACTAAGCATAGTGCCTTCCACAAGGCAGGGTCTCAGACCACTTGGTGCCCATCAGCCCCCACCTTTCTGGGTACCTGGCACTGTGTGAGCACTTTATGTGTGTCACCCATTTTGTCCTCACCACAGGACTGTGAGTTTGGTTCCTTATCTCCATTTTATTGACAGGGAAACTGAGGATCAAGTAGGGCATAAAGGCCTGGAAAGCGCTTGGCCCATGACTGGCACTCAGGATATTATCACAACCCAGGGTGGTGGCTCTGCCCTGTGCCCTGTGACACAGACCCCTCCCACCCCATCTGGCCCACAGGCTGTGGGGGGGGTCGAGGTGGAGTAGAGAGGCATTGCTGCCGCAGTCAGTGCTCCGCCGTCCGGTGGGGGAGGCATTGTGTCAGAGGCATGAGGGATGCATTTTAGTTTGTCCTGAAGATGCTTTTTTGGGCCGCAGGGACCAGGCCACCCAGCGTGGTGTTGGTCTTAATGAAGGCAGGGAGGAATTGCCACCTAGAGGCAGCCAGGGTAATAAAGCTGTGGCCCTCTGATGATGAGCACAGCCAAGTTGGAATCGCTTCCTTTGCTACTCTCTGCAGGGGGTGCTCCTGAGCAAGTGTGAGCTCCAAAGCCACCATGGGGGGAGGGGAGCCCTGCAGGGTCTTAGGTGCCCTCCTGTAGAGACTCTTGGAGCAGCTTTGAGTAAGAAAGGAGTGCAGCCCCTGCCCAGTGCCAGGCTTCCCTCCATGCAGGGCAGGCATGTGAGAGCATGCATGTCCCTCCTCACCGTGCCTGCGTTGGCTGGAGCATGTGCAAGCCAAGCTCAGCCGCGGCCCTGCCCAGTGGTCCATGACCAGCAATCAGAGTGTCTCACCTGTCTTTTCTGTCCTGGGACAGGGCGTGGAAAAGACACCCTGGCCGGTGGAGATGAGGACTCTGGTGCCCGAAGCGCAGCTCGCCCAGCCCTAGCGCAGTGCCGAGCCCTCAGCGTGGGCTGCACTGGCCCCGGGAGCCCCCGCCGGCTCTACCTGAGCGTGCAGGTAAGCACTGGGGGCATCCGGAACATGAGGGGCCCAGCCAGGCGGGTGGGCCTCGGCCCTCTGAGCTTCAGTGCTGGGTCCCTACAGGCTTCTTCGGGGAACGAAACTTGGAGGGAGAGCCGGGACCTACCTCGTGCCTCTTTGCCAAGCTCCTCACAGCACATCTGCTGTGAGCCTGCTTCGATGGAGCAGTGTGCTTTATCAGGTTATCTCGGGGGAGGTAGCAGGAGATGACCCTGGCTAAGGTGTTTAAGTGGGAAATGTGGGGACTTCTCTGAGAAGCCACTAGGAAGATAGGCAGGTTCTAGGGTAGCTGGCTAATCCCACTCAGACATGTGAACCCATGGGGCAGTACTTGTATTTCCTTGTTAAAAGCCAGTATCCAAAGCTAGGCAGAGGACTTCGCCAAAACTTGGCTCCTTTTCTTTTGCAGTTATCGCCAAAGTGACTTTCAAAAGACAAATTTTACATATATATGCATATTTGATTATAGAAATAGTACAGAATAATAGCAGTAATAATAGCTATTTATTGAACACTGACTTTGTGCCAGGCGCTGTACCACGTATTATATATCTCACATCAGTCTTCATAACAGTCTCAACACAGTTGCTGTTTTATCTAAGTTTTGTGAATGAAGTAATGGAGGTTCACAGAGGTTAAGTAACTTGCTACTGGTCACACAGCAACCTGGGATATGAGCCACTAAATATGACAAGCTTTGTGACATATAATGTAAATAATTTGCACTGAGCAGAGATGTAATACCTAGAAACTAATTGCCTCCTATAGTTCTGTATCTTTGAGAAATCCACTATTAAGAGTTTAGTGTTTATCTTTCCCATACAACCAGTTAATTATATTTATACATGGTTTTATTATTTATTTTCACTTTTTATTCGGTGGCTAGCTTTTTCCTTCAACAGTAAACCTTTATGATTTCTTCATGCACGTCAATATTTAGAAAATGACCTCGTTCTTTTAAACTGCTGAATAATATTCTACTTCAAGGTTTACCAGGAATTTTCTAATGGACCCTCTGTATTATTTCTGATTGCAGCACGATCCTTAAATACCTATATATTCATGCAGTTATAGTATTGAGTAATCTCACACTTGTGCACTTTTGCAATGAATGCGTTTTTTACCACATATTTATGAAGTGCTTACTCTGTGCCAGGTGCTGTGCTAGGTGCTGACACACAGCAAAGGGACGTAGATCTGACAGTCTAGTGGAGGTGCTGGAGAAGAATCAAATGATCACAAATGTAGGAATGCAAACAGGCAAGGGCCACTGATGTGGAGGTGGAGGATGAGGGCCCAGAGTTATCTGGGTGTGTTGGCAAGCCCCCACTCCCAAGAAAGATTGTGCACAAGAGAGCCCACCTTGAAGGAACATATGCAAATGGAGGGCAGAATGGGGTGGGGGAAACACATGCCCCTTGAGCATGTCCTCCCTCACGCAGACACAAGTCCTGATCCCAGGCAGTGTCTGGCCCCAAGTCTTTTTGTTGTTGTTGTTAATCTTCACCTGAGGATATTTTTCCATTCATTTTTAGATAGAGTGGAAGGGAGGGAGAGAGAGAGAGAAATAAAGATGTGAAAGAAACACATCGATTGGCTGCCTCCTGTATTACCCCTACCGGGGTGGAGGATTGAACATGCAGCCCAGGTCATGCCTTTGACAGGAAGTCGAAACCAAGACCCTTCCATCTGAGGGCCGATGCTCTGACCACTGAGCAACCCAGCCAGGGCTCCAAGTCTTTTTATTAATAACACTTTTCTTGTTTTTTGATTCCTCACCTGAGGATATATTTTTGTTGATTTTTAGAGAGCCTGGCTGGCGTGGCTCGGTAGTTGAGCGTTGACCCATGCACCAAGAGGTTGCCGGTTCGATTCTTGGTCAGGGCACATGCCCAGATTGTGGGCCTGATCCCTAGTGGGGGGCGTGCAGGAGGCAGCCAGTTGATGTTCTCTCTCATCGATGTTTCTGTCTCTCTCTCCCTTTCCCTTCCTCTCTCTGTCTAAAATCAATAAAGAAAAATTTTTTTTTAAAAAGTAGAGAGGAAGGGAAAGAGAGAAACATTGATTGGTTGCCTCCTGTATGAGCCCTGTTTGGGGATTGAACCCACAACCTAGGTATGTGTCTTGACCAGGACTCAAACCCACCATCTTATGGTATACGAGGTGACGCTCCGACCAACCAAGCCACCCAGCCAGGGCTGGTCCCAAGTCTTGATCTAAACATGGGCCCAGAGCTTGCTGTTACTTCAGAGAGAGTCTTGGGCTTCAAGGTTTCTCTTGGCCCTTCTTGTGTGGTTCATCTGAAAACGGAACCAAATGGTCCTGTTCTCAGTGAGTTCTGAGCATAGCAGGTCTGGTGCGAGAACAGTTAAAGAAACCGGAGAACCCATTTGTTTTCTGTCTCGAGCCATTGGTAGTTAAATCAGGAGGTGGTCAGAAACTGGCCGCCTTGAGCTAGGCGGTGGCTCTGTTCTTGAGTTTTGATTATGGGGTGTAGGGCTGTGGTTGCAGCCGAGTCCTGGGGTCAGCAGATCTGCTGAGGATCTCTGAGGAGCTCCAGCCATCAACCAGTTTCCATGGTCGTGTCCTTCTGGGCCCTGCAAAGCTCTGCTATGGTTCTGCTTGGAGGTCAGGGATGTGCGGCCAAAGTAGGGACCTAGGCACAGGGAGGTGACTGCAGGCTTTGGTGACCCTCCCTGCCAGCCTCTTAAGCAGCTAAACCTGAGACCATCCCTCTGCAGGCACTGTAGAAATTCCCAACCCCCCGGGGGCCTGTCTGCCCTTCCTGTGGCTTGGCCAGCTGGCCAGAAATAGTGTAACCTTTGCTCTGGTCGGCAAATGGAAACTTCCAGCTGCCGGCCGTTGCTGCCACCCACTGCTGACAAGCCTGTTCGCGATGGTGCGGCAGTTGGTCAAGGGTGGGGACAAAATAAAGTTGGCAGCATTTTCCTAAATACAAGAGCTGGGCTCTCCACCCTCCCTCCTCAAGTAGAACGTGAGGGCAAGAGAGGGAGGGAGTGGATTTTGAACGAACTACCTGGTAATGTGGCTTTTCCCTTTTTTAATTCTCTTTATTGGACTTTTGATGATAAAAGTAAATTTGAAGACTACAGAAATAATGTAACATTCCCTGGTATGGAGCTCTTACTGTATGTCAGACACTCTGAGTATTTGCCTAAGGTATCACAGTTACTTTTTTCCCCCATAATCTTGGCAAAATGTTTTGTTTTGTTTTAATTTATAAAAAAAATTTTTTTCTCGCCCTGGCCGGTTTGGCTCAGCGGTTAAAGCGTCGGCCTGTGGTCCTGAGAGACCCGGGTTCGGTTCCCGCTAAGGGCATGTACCTCGGTTGCAGTTTGTCCCCGGCTCTGGTCAGTCGTGCAGGTGGCAGCCACTCGATGTGTCCCTTTCACGTCGATGTTTCTCTCTCTCTCTCTCTCTGGTCCTCTCTCTCCCTCCCACTCTACCTGAACAAAAAATGGAAAAATGTCCTCGGGTGAGGATTAAAAAAAAATTTTTTTTTCTTTATTGATTTTATTTTTATTAAAAATATTTTTTTTCCTTTATTGATTTTAGAGAGAGAGGAAGGGAGAGGGAGAGAGAAATAGAAACATCAATGAAAGAGAATATAAATTGGCCACCCTCCACTGGGGATCAAGCCCACAACCTGGACATGTGTCCTGACCGGGAATCAAACCAGCGACCTCTTGGTGCACGGGCCGACTCAAACCACTGTGCTACACCAGCCGGACTTCTTTATTGATTTTAGAGTGAGAGGAAAGGAGAGGGAGAGAGAGATAGAAACATCGATGAGAGAGAACATTGATTGGCCGCCTCCTGCGTGCCCCCCACTGGGGATTTGGCCCACAACCTGGGCATGTGCCCTGACTGGGAATCAAACCTGCAACCTCTTAGTGCATGGGTCGATGCTCAACCAGTGAGCCATACGGCTGGGCCAGTTACTTTTTATACCAGCTCTATGAGGCGGGTTGTTACTATCTTTCCTATTTAAGAATGGGGAGAACAGCCCTGGCCAGTTTGGCTCAGAGGTTGGAGCGTTGACCTGCGGTCCAGAGAGACTCGAGTTCGGTTCCTGCTGGGGGCACGAACCTCGGTTGCAGTTTGTCCCTGGCCCTGGTTGGGTTGTGCGGGAGACAGCCACTCGATATGTTCCTTTCACATCGCTGTTTCTCTCTCTTCCTCTCTCCCCCTCCCACTCTATCTGAACAAAAAATGGAAAAATGTCTTTAGGTGAGGATAAAAAAATAATGGGGAGAACGAAGCTTTGGGGAAGGAAAGTAACTTGCCCAGAGCCACACAGTCAGGATTTTTCGACTCTAGACTTAGAGTATTTTAAAAACCACAGCTTTTGTCTCTTTGGAATATGGTGGGTACAAAGACACACACAACATGTCTGGAATCTCTCTTCCCAGATAATTTCTGTTGATGTTAAAACACAAAACAGAACGCTGTTGATGTTTATAAGGTTAATAATGCAAATGCCAACAAGGTTCAAAATGAAATGCAAAGCCTCCTTCCCTTCTTCCCACATTCTCTCTGTTTCTTTTTATTCTCAAAAAAGTTTAAATGATGCATATTTCTCCTTTCCCCCCACCTCTCAGAGAGAACCACTCTTTTTATAGTTCCCAGAGGGTTTTTTTTGAGGTGTATTTTATTTCGATTATCCTCAAACGGGATTGCACTTTGCACGAGGTTCTTACCTTGGGCAGCTTTCTGTGTGAGCTGCAGGTGATTTTCTCTGGAGGAAAGACTTTCTGCCCCTCCCCTTCTTCTACCTGCCTGTCCAGCCTTCTTTGCCTCAGTTCCTTCTCGACTGGAGACCAGGTCCCATGGTCCTTAGATAGCCACGGAGGGGTGGGCTGTGACCATCCCCTGCTTGCGTGGACCCGTGTGCCCCCTTCTTGGCAGCCCTGGGGAATGCCATCTGGAGGTGGGCAGTTGGCATCAAGGAGGGGGTTGCCCTGAGATTACCATGTGCCTGCGTCGTCGAGCGAGCTGCTGCCTCGGTGGTTCATGCCCTGTAGGGCCGAGTGGGTGTTACCTGGGGATTTCTAAATGCCCAAGAACCTTTTTTTTGCTGGTGGAGAGGGCCAGCTGCCGAGGGGCCAGGGAAGCACACTGCCACTGTCTGGCCTGGGATCTGGCCGGTTTCTTCCAGCCTCCAGGCCTCCTGTCTGCACCCACACAGCGGGGAGGGGCTGCCGGTCCAGGTCCTGGCCAGCTCCAGGAGTGCAGCATTCTCAGGATCAGGGGCATCCCTCCCCACTGCAGTGCTCTTCACGTGAGGATTCTGGTTGTGTCTTGGCAGCAGGCCCTGCAGGACAGGGGGCACAAGAGCAAGAGTCAGGGGACGAAAGAAGAGAAGCCCCTGAAGAGACAGGCGCCAGCCCCCGGGCGGGACCGGGAGGCCCAGGAAGCTGGTGGCACCATGAATGTAGAGAGAACAGGTAAAGGAGGTCTGCTCACTGACCCAGAATGGCCCCGGTTAAAGCTGGTGCTGGAGGGGAGGCTCTCGTGGTGTCTGAACTGTCCCCACATACTGTCCTTCTCACCTGGAGGCGGCCCATCCAGATTCCAGCTGCCTTGCCGTGGAACTCAGAGACCCCACCCTCCTGGGCCACCCTCCTCCCAGTGCCCAGGGGCCCCGCTCTGTGATCAGAGGCTTTGGCCAGCTTGGGCTGGGGTTGAATTTCCCCGCTTTTTGTCTGTCTTCAGCGCCTGTCAAAAGCGGGGTGACGGTGGCAGTCTCAGTGATGCCACCGCCTGCAGAAGGAGGTCTGACCACTTTCCCTTGTGTCTGCGGGTCCACCGGGGCCCAGACACCCTGGGACAGGGCCTCACTCTGCTGCCCTGAGGCCGGGAAAAAGGAGCTGGTGGCTCCACTCTTTTTTGGCAAGGATGACTCTCTCTCGAAGATTCTACAGGCCTCCTTTGTGGGATTCCCCAGAGGGAGTCCTGAGCCCAGTGATCACCGGGAAGGAACATCCTAAGGAACCCCAGGCAGAGGCCACGCATGTGGGGGAAGGGTCGGTCCTTCTCCTGTTTTCCTGCACCTGTCACCAGAGGTTGATTTGTGTGTCTGACTTGCCTGTGGGGGAAGCAGCTAATCCCCCGAGTCCCTGCCGGAGCCACGCACCCTTCTCGTCAGTCTCTGGTGTTCAGAGGCAGGTGTTGGGGTCTGGCCGAGGTCTGGGCAGACAGGCCTTGGGGGGGGGGGGGGGCATCGTCCAGCCACTCAGGGGCCTTGCCTAATTGGCTGAGGAGAGAGAGGCCAGTCCTAGTCAAGAGTGAGGACTGACTTTTGTCAGTGGGGCCAGAAGAGGGCACCTGTGCCTCTCTGAGCCTGAGCTCCCAAGGGGCAGTACACAGGAAAGGTGTCTGAGCCACACTCTGTTCTGAAAACTTGCCCTGAAAACTGACGTCCCAAGAGGTGCTCAGCCTCCTCCGTATCAGGGCCTGTTCAGTAGCTTGTCCCCCAGCACCCCTTGGAGCTCCCACTGCCCCCTAGCTTCTTCAAGGTCCTTTGTCCCCAGCAAGCATGCGCCAGGCCCTGGCACCGAGTTCCCCCAGCACCCGCACTTGCTGAGGTCAGGACGTACCCCACCAGGCGTGGTCTCTGAGCGTGTCTCCGAATCTTCTGTGATATAAGCAGTGTCCTGGACAAGAAGGGCTATTTCATGTCCTGTTGAGTGACACCCACTCACACCTGCTCGTCCCTCATGGTGCCCAGGTCCCTGTCCCAAGGGTGCCCCTCTGGGCAAGGACCATTGTCCCCATTTCACAGAGGTCCTTGCCGCACACCCGAGGGGCCTCTCCCACGTCTCATCAGTGCCGGAAGCAGCTCTTGGCCCGGAGTCCAGGGCCCTCCCTCCCGCCCATGGCATTCTGCACAGGGCCAATGCCGGTCGCATGCTGCCCGTGGCGTCCCGTGTGCAGGCCTGGCAGCATCTGTGTGACCTCACTCTCTAGAACAGAGAGCAGAAGCTTGGCCCACAGTGTGCGACATGCGTGCTTTGTCATGTGCAGGCCATATGGCCAGGGCCACCAGCCAACCAGTGACTGCTCCTGCTTTCTAGTCTAGAGGGTCTTGAGTCGAAGTTGTCCCAAGGGGTGGGAGGAAGGGAAAAGCCAGGCTGTGTGTGCTTTGCCTGCTCTCTTTAGAGTGGCAACAGGGACTTCTCACTGTCCACCCCTCCTGGGGAGGGTTCTGAGCTGAGCTGCCCAGCGGGGCCCTGCTCCCTCCACACTCCGGCTCCCGCCCAGCTCGCAAGCGGCAGGCAGGCGGCTTCTCTGCAGTCTTAGCACGCTCACTGCCTCCCGTGGGTCAAAGCCGCCAGCCAGTGTGTGACTTCAGGAGCAGGTGGCAGCCCCCAGCCCTGCCCCCAGGGCTGTTGTTCTAGGGACTTCTTGTGGGAGAGCCCAGAAGCCCTGGGGCTCCGAGGTCAAGTGGAGGCTCGTAGCCAACAGATGCTGCTCCTTCGCTTCCCTCCCTCCCGGCCACTTTGTTCTTGAACACTTCCTTCTGGCTCTGGGGGCTTTGGCCAGTGCCTGGACCGGGCTACTGTAGGGAAGGGGCAATCCCCTGCCCTTTGACCCTCTCCCCCGCCCCTCTTTCCCTCCTCCCAAGCGCCTTGCCAGCCCCCCACCCACAGAGACCATGGCCATCTTGGTGCCCTGGAAACAAGCTCTGACAAGCATCCTAGGTCACAGGCCTTGATTCTTCTGTCCATCTGTCTGTCTCCTGCTCCTAGAGGAGGAGGACCAGGTGGAGTCAGCCCACCCGTATTGACATGTCCTCCCACCTGTGTGGTCCCTGCACTCAGTCCCGCGAGGGCAGTTGTCCGCCCCAGAGCAGGCCTGTCTGTTCCTGTCCACGTGCTGTGTCTGTCTCCGTGTACTGGTCTGTCTGTCCCTGGCCCATGCACCTTCCCGTTCCTTCCTCTCAGTGTGCAGGTGACCGCTCCCTGCGGAGGGAGCCCCCATCTCTCTATTCTGGAGAGGGTTTGGGGATTTAAACAAATCATGTTCCCCCAGGAATAGTGTTTTAAGCGGAGCTAACCCCAACTCCTCAGCAGCAGCAGCCAGAAGGCATGTCTTTCTCAGCCTTGATGACTTGCCGGCATGGGGAGGGTGTCTCCCATCGAACCTGGAACCCGTGCTTTGAAGGGAGTCCTCAGGGAGCTGCCTTCATGAGCCCCGATACAGGCAGTTCCGCCCCAAGCTGCTGCTGCAGTGCCTCCTCCGAGCTAGCCCACCCTGCTGCTGCCCAGCCCTGGGCCTGCACAGCCCCTCTGCTGGCATTCCCTCTCTGCCCCGATGGTCTGGTTGGCCCTGCCAGGACGGCCCCCTCTCCTCGGCCAGGGTGGGACCTCTGCTGCCCTGCTGATCGGCCACTACTTTGCTCATAGGTGGGCGGCTCTTTGGCAGCGGGAGGTGCTCGAGCCTGTCAGGGCCACCAGGTGGAGCCCCCATGGTACATAGGATGGTGGAGGCCATGTCCCAGCTACAGGAGGAGAAAGTCCGGCTGCAGGAGGAGCTGGCAGCCCTACGGGAGAGGCTGGCCCTCCGAGACAGTAACCAGCAAGCCACATCCACCCAGCTGCAGAACCAGGTACCTGGGGAGGATGGGGCGGGCAGAGGTCACTGCCCACCGTGGAGCAGGTTGGAGGACATTACTCCAGTCACCTGCTACCCACCAGGCCACTGGCATAATGGACAGTTGAGGTCTCCTCTCTTGGCTCTGAGTCTCGAGGTGGCGAGAGTCAGAGGCCTGGACCTCCCATCCTGGTCGTCCTTGTGCCCCATTCTTCATGGTTCCCAGGGGCCAGGACCTGCCTCTCCGGAGTGATGGGCAGCACGTGTAGACGTGAGAGGAGCAGGAAGGTGCGGGGATGCTTCCCGCCTGAGTCTGCTCCATCTGCTCGGCAGAGGACACCCCCTGGAAAACCAGCAGGAAAGGAGAGGCTGGCGTGCGTGCACGTGGAAGGAGGGAGCTCCGGAGGCCAGGAGGGCCAAAGGTTGATGCTGTGAGCATCGTTTTCGAGGTTCGCTGTCCAGGAGGACATTTGGGGACTCTCAGCCCTCATGCCGCACACCCTGTGGGCTGGGCACTGGCCCTCCTCTGCGTGCCTGGCTGCCTTATTGTCTCCTTCCCCAAATGTGAGCCCCAAGGCCTCTTTCCTTGGGTTCAGCGCGCCACCCTCATTGTCATGTCTGTCTCGTGCCTGTGTCTGACCCTCCCCTCATCGGATCTGGGCCTGGTCTGTGGAGAGCCCTGCCCTTGGGTGATCTCTGTGATCACCCAGCATGTGTCTCTTCTCTTCACTGAACATCACTGAGTACTGTGACTTGTTCTCAGTTCCAGGGGACAGGAGGTTCTTTTTATGCACTTTTTAAAGGTAGCATTCCCTCCCCACCCCCAGCTTACAGGTGTGTCCTGTTCTCAAGAACTGTCTGTCTTGACCACTATCAGCTCCGTGCTTAGTTGGGTGGCCCTCCTTGGAACATCCTTAGTGCCGGTGTCTCCCTCTTACATGCTGACCCCATTGTTTGCTGCCTTCGGGCCCATCTGCCTGGTGAATGGCTCCTCAAGGCAGGATGTGGCACAGCAGCTTTGTATCACTACTGGCTCCTGCGGTGCCCACCTGCCTCTCTCCCTCAGGTGTTTGCTGGGTGCCCTGTATGTACAGACACCGAACTGAGCGCTGGGAATGCCCAGGGAGACGGACACACCCTCGCCTGTGGAGGCTGCAGGCTAGGGGAGGACGGACATTGGTTACACACGCCCATGTCACGTGGGAAGAGCAGCAAGGGCTCTGAGGGTGGGCACACACACGGGGCATGAGGGCTTGTACAAGGAGCTTTGTCCAGGAGGTCAGGACCTGTTGGGGAGGTTAGGGATGGCATCCTTGAGGAAATGACACTGGAGATGAGGTCTGGCCCAGAAATGTTTTCTGAGCTGAGGGAATAAGTCAGTGCAAAGGGACTGTGGCAGAAGGAGCAAGATGAGTACATCTGGAATCCACTGGGGGTTGGTTTCAGGACAACCCTTTCCCCCCACTCCGGGGGTACCAAAATCCTCAGATGCTCAAATCCCTGATATAAAATGGCTTCGTATTTGCATATAACCTACACAATGCCTCTCATATACTTTAAATCATCTCTAGATTAATTATAATACCTAATACAAATGCTTTGTAAATAACTGTTATACTGTATTGTTCAGGGATCAACTTTCTGCAGTTTTTTCCTCCAATATTTTTAATCTGAGGTTGGTTGAATCTGAGGATGTGGAACCCCAGGATGCTGAGGGCTGGCTGTATACGGGTGGAACCAAGGCCTGTGTAACTGCACGGTGGCAGGAGGCACTGTTCTGGGGCTGTGGGGCTGTGGGCTGTGGGCTGGTGGCAGGTGCTGGGCCCTCACTGTAGGATGCGTATCTGGCCCACAGGGGGAGCTCTCGGCAGCTCTTCCTTCCCTGGCCTTTTCTTTACCCTGCCCAGGCTTTTCACTTTTCAAATACGTTGATTTGTTTTTAAAGAGCTTTACTGAGATATAATTCACTTATCATAAGAGTCACCTGTTTATGGGTGTACAGCTCAGTGGTCTTAAGTATGTGAAGATGGTGACACTACCACCACCCCTATCTAATTTCAGAACATTTTCATCACCCCGAAAAGGTCTATTAAGTCACTCCCCTTCTCCCCAGCTCCTGGCAACCGCGGATCTGCTTTCTTGTTTTATGGATTGGCCTTTTTGGGAACATTTCATGGAAATGAAATCATAATAATACGTGGCTTTTTGTGACTTTAAACAAGTTTTTTTTAAGAAAAGCTTTTTTCCCCTCAATTAGCAAAATCTACAAGTTTTAAAAAAAACATTTTTTCCCCTTATTTGGCAAAATCTCCTTACTTCTCGGAGGGGAAGTTGAAGGTGAAGCATCATAGCCCTCTGGTGTCTTTCGGCCCCAGCTCTGCAAACAGCCCGCTCCTGCTCCCCGCCTCCCCTCCCACTCCCCTGGCGGACTGGAGGGTTCTGAATGGTGCCTGGCCTCTGCTCACTGTGGTTCATCTCAGACATTCTGACTGCCAGCTCCTTCCTGGAGTGTCTCAGCGGATGCACCTGAGCTCCAGCCTCTGAGCCACTCTTTGTGGGGTCCTACCCTGTGGAGCTGCGGCCAACCATGTGGGCCTGGACGGGTTCAGATGCTGACCTTGGCCCTACTCATTAGCTGTGTGACCTTGGGCTAGTTAACCATCACTCTGCACCTCAGTTTCCTCATCTGTACAACAGACATAATACCAGGACCTGATGACATGGGCCAGGGTTACTGGTGATGCCACCATCTTGACTGGGAAGAGTTTTGGAATTGGAATTGGGGCAGGATTCTGGTCCTGACTTTGACACTCACTGGCTGTTCAGCGACAGGGAGTCGCTGCCTGTCCGAGCCTGCATTGCCCAGTCTCTAGACGAGCTGCTAAGTGTTGCTTCGTGGTTATTGGGCAGATCAGCTGTGAGCCTGGACAGTAGGTGGTGAGCCTCGTGAGGGGCTCTCCTGCTCCAGCATCCTGCCGGCCTCACTGCGTTTTCACACACATGGACCCTCCTGGTCTTCTAAACGTTGGGCCCTTAAAGAAAGCCCCCGTGGGCTACTCTCCACTGTACTCTCGGTGCCTTGTTCCCAGCCTTGTCCAGCCTCGTCTTCTGAACATGGCTGCGTTCCCGTGTTGCTCTAACTGAAAGGCAGTGTGGGTGGTTACGAGAGGGCTCTGAGGGCGCGGCCTAGGGACCCGAGTTAGTGGTCCACCGCTAGGTGGTCAGGTGACCCTGGGCAAGTTGATCTTGTGAAGCATCCCCTGCCCCGCCGGTGAAGCCAGCTCGTTCAGTGGGTCTGCCGTACTGTTGTTGGAGCCTGGGCTTGTGAGGGCTGCGGGAGGCTTTTCAGGCCTCCCACTGATGAATGTCAAATGGAGACTTTTGTATTTACGGGGAGCCCACCATGCTTTTTGTGGGAGCATTCAGGCCAAAGATCACCTTCTCAGCCCTTGAGCCCCCAGCTGGCCCAGGCCACAAAGGACACTGGTCTTGGTTTGGCCACCAAGGGACATTGTGGCTAGTTGGGATGACCCTCCCTGGACATTGGCAACAACAGCCCCAGGTGACTTCCTGGTGGCTTCAAGCTGTTCCCTCTTGTAGATGCCCCAGCCGTGGCCCCACTATGCAGAGGAGGAAACCAAGTGGCATGGCGAAGCTGAGACTTGTCCAAGGTTATCCGGAGGGTGGGGTGATGTCTGTGTTAGAACCTGGGCACTCTGGCCTGGGAGTCCGTGTTTCCACTGCCCCTCAGTGGCAGAAGGTCTCGAAGGCAGAACCTTGGCAGTGGAGGCAAGGGCCGGATGGACCAGGCCAGGCCTGGTCAGTGGTCAGGTAGCCAGGAGTCAGGTCTCTGGGGAGAGGGATTATGTTGGAGCTGACCCTCTGGCCTCAGGGCTGGTTCCTTGAGGCCCAATGGTATCCCAAGCCCTCTCGCCTCCCCAGTTTAGTGATGCCTCAGCCTTAGCCCCTGGGAGAGTCCTCTTTCCTTGGGAGACAGCTGGGGATGGTGGGCCAGCGTGGTGGGAGGTTAACGCCCATTGTCTGCGTTGATAGCAGGGAGCCCCACCCTCCGTGGAGCCACCTCTGTCGAGGGGTGTAAATGTCAGGCCCCAGCTCCCTGCAGCTACAAGGTTCCTCTGCACCAGGCTCCTGACTCCGGTTCTCTGGCTGACACCTGGAGAGAGGTGTCCAAGCCCAGCCTGGTCCCTTCCTCAAGCCTGGGGTTGACACTTAGCTGTCCTGGAGGCCACCACAGCAGCCTGTGGCTCTCTGCACTCCCAGGGTGCATGCTGCCCTTGTACTGGTCCTTGAAGTGGTTATGGAGTAACTGCTGTGTGCTGGTCACTGCCGGGGCTGGGGCTCGTGATGAGCAGTAGGGGAGGTGCCTCCCCTTTTCATGTACCAATTCAGGCACCGTCCTGTCGCAGAGCTGTGAGGGTGCACGAAGGGGGTGCCTCAGGGGCTCCCTCCTAGGGAAGTCCCTCCTCTCGGGTGAGGTTCACCCTCAGCCCCCCACTCTCTGCCCCTCACTGCTGAACCTATCTGCTGTCTCCCATCTGAGGTCCTCTGGGTGCCTCTGTTTGTCTCTCTTTTGCTCCTTGTTTTCCTGACTCAGGGACTCCTGGCGCCTTCCCCCAAGCCCTCTGGAAGCAGACGCTTCTGGGTAGAGGGGAAGGGTCCCACTCATAGGCAGCACAGGTTCTAATTTCCCAGCTCCAAGAGGAGCTTGCCTGAGGAGTGGTTTGCACCTGGCCAGCCACCCTGCAGTGTTGAACTGTGTCCCCCTGCTGCCCTAGACAAGCCAGGAGGTGACTGAGTGTCTGGCATCTCTGACAAAGGAGTCTTTTACGGCCCCTCCCCCACACCTTCTGCCCTCTTTGTAGGCACCTCCTTTTGGGCAGGCACCCCTCAGAGTTCTAGGCAGAGCCCAGGAGACCAGGGTTCCAATTGTGATGCAAGAAGGAAACAGAAGCCTGGGCTGCTGGCAGGTGGCAGGCGGCCGACCTGACCCCCCAGTAAACACTGGAAGACCCTGCTTTCATTGCATGGAGGTCTGCGTGCCAGGCAGCGCGCTGGGGACAAGTAAGGTCAGAGCACACCCAGCCGTGCTGAGGACACAGCCCGTCTGGAGCGCGAGTTCTGTGCAAATGGACCATCTTGGGGTGATTTCTGGGGTAGGGCAATGGGCTGGGGAGCCCAGTCTTTCAAAAGGAAATAGACCCACCTATTTCAGGGTGAAGAGAGAGTGCAAGATGAATACATATTTTTTGAGACTTAAAAATTACTGAAAAGCATAAAAAATTGGTCAAATGTACTTCTACAATCCAGAGACCTCCACTTTTTGGAACTGCTCGCACAAGTTGTTTTGAGGGTTTTCTTTGACGTACTATGTTGAGGAACCTTACCTGTGTCATTCAAAACTCCCGGTAAACACACCGAATGACTACACCATGGTCTGTGTGTGCAGCTGCACAACAGACCTGCCCTGCCCGGGGGTGGGTGTTCAGGTGAGTGCCAATTTCATGGCTAAGGAATGAAACGCTGCCTTGCGCAAATTGTCCCTCACTCCCCTCTGGGGCCAAGGGACTGAGCACCCTTCCCATCAGGCTCCTAACGGAAGGGGACATTGGGAGTGTGCAGAGAGGGGGCACACACGTTGCCACCAGCGTGGTCCGTGGCCCAGTACATTGCCAGGAGGGCTGCTAGGAACATAGCCTTCTGGGACCACCCTGGTCCAGAGCTCACCCAACTATGCCCTTAGGTTACCTGCTTATCTACCAGGAGGACTTGGGTCTCCCCGCTCGTCTCTGGGTCTGGGTCTTGGAATCCTCGTCCACAGCCATGAGTGACAGCGCTGGTGTCATGACCTTTGCCTCAGGGGGTGGAGCCGATGGCCGGCTTCCTCCTCCAACCTCCTCAGAGAGGCAGAGGCCTGACTTGTGGCTCAGGCACCTTCTCCAGGCCGTGCCGCCCACAGACTGTTGATGGCATCTCAGCCATTAAAGTCGGGGGATTTCACACACACCCGCAGGAAACCCCAATGTCTGGCCTCTCTTGAAAGGTCAGAAGTCTGGTGACACGGAGCCTGTTTCCCCCTGGCCCCAGTCTGCAGGGAGTGCATGGTGGGTGTCCAGTCCCACACTGCCCCTCACCTGCCTGGCCTGGCGGCCCCTGGAGGCGGTGGGCTTTGTCCCCTGTTGTTCAGAAACAAGGACGCAGTGTTCCGGGGCCTGCTGTGCAAGCCACCCTCTCCCCGCGGCGAGTCGAAGGCGTGGGCTGGGCTTGGGTGCGCGCGAGAACTGCGAACGTGCTCCAGCTGGCGCCAGAGGCTGTGTCGTTCCGGGTTATCTTCCCTGGAGAGGGTCCTGCTGTGGGACCAGGGCCTGCAGCCTGCGGAGGGCCGACTGCAGGCCAGCTCCAGGACGGGTTGCCACGCGGGGATCTGCTCTCTGGGAGCTGGTGTCCCTGCCCAGGACTCTGGCTGAGCCAGGTCACCCCTGCCTCCGGATGGGGTGCCCGTACCCTTCTCTTGTCTACAGCCTCACCCGCCACAACTCTCCTGCGAGGCAGACTGGGAGCTGGGGTGGACACAGGTCCCAGATGTGCTCTGGTCACAGGCAGACCTGTTTCTGTGGGCAGACTCACCAGGAACCACTCAAAGTGGAAAATTCTAGGGGCAGGGCAAGGATGGGTCCAGGTTTTATAGTACCTACAGTTGATACAATTTGAGGCCCCTTTTAGGAAAAAAGAATATAAAGTTACAAATACAAACGTAGGCACAAGTCTTGTGGGGTCCTGTGCAAGGCAGGCGGCCTCCTCGTCTGGCAGTAAGTCGCCCCTGGCGTGAGCTGGGTGGTGGAGGGGTCGCCCCTGCGGCCTTTGCCCGACTCCCTGAGAGCCCAGGCTGGGTCCTGCGGTGGGAGGGGTGCCGAAGGCTGTCTGGAGCCCCAGGTGTGGCCTGATGCTCGCACACGGAGGGCTGGAGCTGAGGCCTGGATGTGGCTGGAGTGAGGAGCAAGGCTCCCTGTGACCCGGGTTTGTGCTGGCAGGTGGGAAGCCTGAAGGGGAAGCTCATCAGCCAGGCCCAGGAAGTGAGCCGCCTCCGACCAGAGCTGGTGAGGCCAACACTGCATCCCTCGCGGGTCAGAGGGGGGCTGGTGTGCAGTCTGGCCCCTCCAGACTAGGGGGTGACCCCGTGCAGCCCAAGTGGGGTTGCATCCTGTTTCGGAAATGCTCCTGGGGTACCGATCACCAGTCACTGGGTCCTCAGAGGCCATGTGACCCCCAGGAGGAGGGAGGTGAGTCCTCCTTTGCTGATGTAAAATGGGAGTGTGAACTCTGTGTAAATCTCTTCTCTTGTTACTTTCACACTCGGGAAAATAGAAGGGAAGGGGTGGGACGCCGCCAGTGCAGTTCCTGTCTCGCCGCCCTTCGCAGCCTGTCTCCATCTTCCCCTCTCCCTTGCTCACCCTCCCTTCTCTTTCCTCCTTCTCCATGTCTTTCTCCCCCCTCTCCCCCTCTCTCCCCTACCCTTGCCCTCTCTCTGACCCCCCTCCTCGCTCCCCCCTGATCTGCTCTGGCCACTTGCCCCCTGGGTTGACTCTGCAGGGAGGCACGGACTTGGAGAAGCACCGGGACCTGCTGATGGTGGAGAATGAGCGACTGAGGCAGGAGATGCGGCGCTGTGAGGCCGAGCTCCAGGAGCTGCGTGCGAAGCCGGTGGCCGCCCCCTGCACGGGCTGCGAGCACAGCCAGGTGAGCACAGGACCGGGCGGTCCCAGCGGCCCCTTTCCTAACGGACCCCAGCTCCTCCCAGTGACCCCTACCTGCTTGTCTGGCTGTCAGTCTGTCTGCTTCACACTTGTCTTGGCCTTGTCTCCTATCTGCAGGAAAGCGCCCAGCTCCGGGACAGGCTGTCACAGCTGCAGCTGGAAGTGGCGGAGAACAAAAGCATGCTGTCCGAGCTGAACCTGGAGGTGCAGCAGAAGACTGACCGGCTGGCCGAGGTGGAGCTGCGGCTCAAGGACTGCCTGGCCGAGAAGGCGCAGGAGGAGGAGCGGCTCAGCCGGCGCCTGCGTGACAGCCACGAGACCATCGCCAGCCTGCGGGCCCAGTCGCCGCCCATCAAGGTGGGAGCCCGGACTGTGCCTCAGCACTCGACCGCTGGTGCCCAGGGCGAGGCCGGCCTGTGGGAGTGGGTGTGAGAGGTTGATCGCAGTGTTCCAGGTCTGCACTCAGTTTGTTTTTGGCCCCTTACCCCTCTTGCTGTCCAGGGACAGGCACGTGGTAGGGCATCTGGCAACTGATGCTGGCGGTGCCCGCTGCAGGCCAGGCATGGACATAGGTCATCACTGAATCTGTCCTCATCTTTGCCCTTGTCTGTTCTGTGCCAGGCTGGGGCCACAGCCAGGCTCATAGTGGGCTCCTTCAGATGAGAAGATTCCGCATTCTGGAAAGCTGGGACCTTGCAGCATCTCTAGTTATTTCAGGGACTCTTGGTGGGATGTCCCTGAGGGCCCCCTCCCCAGGCCAGCCAGGTCGCAAGGCCGCAGTGTGAGGTCAATGTGCCCTCACACCTCCATGGACCTGTCTGTCTCTCTCGTCTTGCAGTATGTCATCAAAACGGTGGAGGTGGAGTCGTCCAAGACAAAGCAGGCCCTCAGTGAGTCTCAGACCCAGAACCAGCACCTGCAGGAGCAGGTGGCCATGCAGAGACAGGTGCTGAAGGAGATGGAGCAGCAGCTGCAGAGCTCGCACCAGCTGACCTCTCAGCTCCGGGCACAGGTGCGCAGGCTGCGGGGTGTGCGTGGCTGCCAAGGAGCAGGTGCGCGGAGCAGAGGCCAGCCTTTGGTACAGTGCAGAGGACCAAGGTTCTGGTCCCTCCTCTTCCCACTGATCATGTGACTAAGGGCCAGTTTCGTCTGAGTCTCTGTTTCCTCATCTATAAGATGATTTGATCATGGAACCCTCCTCACAGTGGGACTCAGGGACAGACTTGGAAGAGGCTCTTCTCACAGGGCTCAGCACACATGCTCTTAGTAGGGGCTCTAGTCAATATCTTAACGCTCTTCCTGCTTTCTCGGGGCTTGGGCACCTGTTATGTGCCAGGACCCAGGTTGGTGCTGGGGCAACACAGGGAGTAGCTGCGCGGAGCTCAGCCCTGTAGGGGAGAGTGATGGCCGTCCTGTCGTGTGTGTGTGTGTTCAGGTGTGTGCGTGGGGTAAGAAGAGGCAGGGCTACTTTCTGGCACCCACCCCATTCCCTCCCAAACCCCATGTATTGAGCTTCCGGCCTTGGCCGCCAGATCGCCATGTACGAGTCGGAGCTGGAGCGGGCACATGGGCAGATGCTGGAGGAGATGCAGTCCCTGGAGGAGGACAAGAACCGGGCCATCGAGGAGGCCTTTGCCAGAGCCCAGGTGGAGATGAAGGCTGTGCACGAGAACCTGGCAGGTGAGCTGGCCACCTGGGCCTTGGCCCGCCCCAAGCTGCAGCCCTCACCCTGTCTACCTCACACCCCTCCTGTCCCCACAGGCGTACGGACCAACCTGCTGACGTTGCAGCCAGCACTGCGGACCCTCACTAATGACTACAATGGGCTCAAGCGGCAGGTTCGAGGCTTCCCCCTGCTACTGCAGGAAGCCCTCAAGAGCGTCAAGGCTGAGGTGAGTGCAGGCTGTGGCGGGTGGGGCTAGGAGAGGCCCTGGAGCCCCTGGGCAGGGGCAGCATCCACCCAGGTCTCTCTTCCAAAATGCAGATGGAGCTCTGCCACGCAACTGCCCCTCGGCCTCCCAACGCACTATTTTAAAAAGCCTGGTCAGGGGCAGGCATTTGGGCATTTGTTTTATTATGACTCTTGAACCCAAACATGTTACAGATACTTTTATCTCAAACATGCTATCTATATTCCCACATCTGTTAGATTTAATTTAATTTTTTCAAGCTCTGCTTGTTCAATATGAGAATAGCCAGTGTCTCTTAAGTGCCTCCTGCATGCTGAACCTTTTATAGCCATTGGCTCCTTGAGTCTGGTGACGGCTCTACAGGGTAGAGAGACTGATGTATTTTAGGAGTAAAAAATAGCTCTTTTTAAATATATATATATATGTGTATATATATATATATATATTTGAATATATTTTTACTGTTAGAGAGGAAGGGAGAGGGAGAAAGAGATGGAAGCATTGATGAGAGAGAAAAATGGATTGGCTGCCTCCTGCACATCCCCTACTGGGATCGAGCCCACAACCCAGGCATGCGCCCCAATTGGGAATTGAACTGGGACCTCTCAGCCCATGGGATGATGCTCAGTCCCTTGAGCCACACCAGCTGGGCTTTTGGAGGATATTTTTCCATTGATTTTTTTTTTTTTTTTTTAGATTGGGAGGGGGGACGGGGAGGGGAGAAAGAGAAACATCGATTGGTCGCCTCCCACATGACCCCAACCAGGGCCAATGCAACTGAGGTACATGCTCTTGACCGGGAATCAAACCCGTGATCCTTTGGTCCACAGGCCGACTCTCTAACCACTGAGCAAACCAGCCAGGGCAAAAATTGTTCTTTAAAATACTATGTGAGTAATACCTGGACATAGTAGAAAGAAGGGCATCCGATGAAAAGGAAAGGACGCTCTCTGCCACCCGCTCCCCACAGGCAGCCTCTGCCAGCATCTCCCAGGGCGTTCAGAGCGTGAGAGATGTACTGTCTGTACCTTCTTACTCACAAGGGCAACATATGGACATGTGGTCTGCATCTTGCTTCTTTCCCCTGTGAAATGCAACTTGGAGATCTTTACCTACCAGCTCCTACAGATCCACAAGTTAGACGGTGTTGTCCCCATTTTACAGATGAGAACATTGAGGCTTGAAGACATTGAGCCTGTTGCCTCAGGGCCCCCAGCTACTCAGGGTAGAGCTGGGATTGGGTCCAGCCAAACCTGTAGCCAAGTGTGAGTGCTGTGGAGTGAAGTTGAGTCCCAGCTCTTTGCTTCTTTAGCAGGGCAACCTTGAAGTATTGGCTTAGGTTTGCTGGGGCTCAGTTCTTTATAAAATGGGACAGGTAGCGGTATATACCCAGAGAGGAATTACTAGGAAATTTTGTCATGTGATGCCACATGTCAAGGACTCAGCCCAGGGCAGGAGACAGTGCTGAGCCTGCCTGGGGGCAGTCAGTTATTAGAGCTGGCCCCTGACGGTGCTGTGTGTCCCCCACCAGATTGGCCAGGCCATCGAGGAGGTCAACAACAACAACCAGGAGCTGCTGCGCAAGTACCGCCGGGAGCTGCAGCTGCGCAAGAAATGCCACAATGAGCTTGTGCGGCTGAAAGGTGACTGCTGGGTGGGCTGGGGTGGTGATGCGCCACATAGGAGTCCTTGACCTGGCTCAGAGGTGAGCCTGCCCTTGCCCATGGCCCCAGCACCCCTCCTTGGAGCTGTGCCCTGTCACTGAGGAGTCTGTCATTCCTTCTTTGAGAAGAAGGCAACAGAGAAGTCAGGGACTTGGAGCTGTCCAACTCAGAAGCCCTTGCCCCGTGTCCATAGCAGGCTACCCCCACCCCCGTGGCCATGGGGTCAGGCACTAAAACTGGGTGGTGAGTGGCTGCAATGCCACTTGTTCAGACCTAGGACAAGGTCAAGCTTGAGATTTCATCTGTTCACTGCACAAAGGTCTAGGGAGCACCTGTCCTGTGCCAGGTGCTGGTCCGGACGGAGATATGGCTGTGGGGCCCCACAGACACCATTCCTGCCCTCACGTGCTCACTTCAGCTGGGAGAGCACCCGGTGATGGTTAATCAGCCAGAGAGCCCCAGGGGTTTGATAACCCAGGCTGGGAGGAGCCCCTGGGTATCTGACAGTCGGCGATGTTGGGGGGCTTCCTGGAGGAGCAAAGTTAGACCTGAGACCTGGACTGTGAGTTGGGGGGACAGGTGAAGTGGGGGTAGGTCCATACTGGCTGTGGTGGGGAGTTTCCTCTTCGTTCAGGAGCACTGGGCTTGAAGCAGGGGGCGGTGCGATCTGATCCATGCCTCCAAGCCCCCTGGGGCTGCCCCGTGCCCGTGCTCATTAGCGTGCTGCCAGCCATCCACCTGCTGTCCAGTCCCATCCGCCCTTCTGATTCCCAAGTGCCATCCTGGCGTTCACAGTGCCCTTTCTGAATGATAGGACCAGCCCCTTAGCTTGCGGAGACCCAAGCTCCTTACTGTGTAGATGAGAAAATTGAAGTACAGACATATAAGGAGGGGGTCCTTTATGGTATCCCAACCAGACTGGCATCCCCCTCCTCCCATCACCTGACCCCGACAATTGACCTTTTCTCCCAGTCCCCAAGGTGAAGTTCCCACCCTCAACTGGTTTGCTCAGGAAGAAAATGTACCAATAAGTGAATTCATACTATAGTGTGAGTAACTGATAACAGCTTTGTGGCCCTGGGAGGCCTTGCTTAGAAGGCAGGAGGCCCCTGACCACCGGCCTGCTTAGGATACCAGTGGACACCAGCATGGAAGCAGTCTGGTCTTGACCTGGCCTGTACACTTCTCTCCTCCCCCACCCAATCCAGGGAACATCCGGGTGATTGCGCGCGTTCGGCCAGTCACCAAAGAGGATGGGGAAGGACCTGAGGCCATCAATGCAGTGACCTTCGACCCCGACGATGACTCCATCATCCACCTGGTGCACAAAGGAAAGCCTGTGTCCTTCGAGCTGGACAAGGTCTTCTCCCCGAGGGCCTCGCAGCAGGACGTGAGTGTGGCTCCTAGGTGGGGAGGGGGAAGGGACAGAGCAGTGGAGAGAGGGACTCAGACTCACCAGGAAAGGGAGAGGTGGGGGGCGGACAGGAAGACGTTTGAGAGTGCGGGAGACGGGTAGAGAAGCCTGGGTACCAGGTCCCTCTCTCCTTCCTCTCCGGTCAGAAGAGTGTGGAGAGCTAATACTGAGGACCTTAGGAGCCTCTACTGGGAAGGGAAGATGGGGTGCACAGCCCTTCCCATCCATGTGGCCCCTCCCACCCACACGGCCCTTCCTACTCAAGCTCCGCCTACCCACGTGGCCCCTCAGATCCACATGACCCAGGCCGGCAGCCTGGTCCCTGCAGCCTGTGAGAGGCATATGGTCCCAGCCCCTGCTCAGTCTCATCTCTGCCAGGGCCATCCTGCTAGGCCTGTTTTGCCTGTACTCTGCTGTCTATATGTCTGCTTTACCTTTGCCCCGTCCTCAGCCCACTGGCAGGCAAGCAGGCAGAGGAGGTGGCACGCATGTGACTGGTCTCTGCCTTCATTTTGCTGCGCCCTTTGGATGTAGGGGAGGGGCTCCTGGGCTCCTGGGCTCCTGGGCTCCAGGGCTCCAGGGCTCAGGGCTCCAGGGCTCAGGGCTCCAGGGCTCAGGGCTCAGGGCTTCAGGGCTCAGGGCTCAGGGCTCCAGGGCTCAGGGCTCAGGGCTTCAGGGCTCAGGGCTCAGGGCTCCAGGGCTCCAGGGCTCCAGGGCTCAGGGCTCAGGGCTCAGGGCTCAGGGCTCAGGGCTCCAGGGCTCAGGGCTCAGGGCTCCAGGGCTCAGGGCTCCAGGGCTCAGGGCTCCAGGGCTCAGGGCTCAGGGCTCAGGGCTCCAGGGCTCAGGGCTCCAGGGCTCAGGGCTCAGGGCTGGGCGGTAAGACTGCCCTGTCTTCCCTCCGTCTTCCGCAGCCAGGTTACCACGGATAGCTAGTGCAAGTGCCTTATTTGTCCCGAGTTGCTCCACAGTGAGCTGGTTGTTCACAATAAGGTGCTATGTTATTGCTGAAGGAGAGAGCGGTCAGGGGGACGTGGCTGGACTTGGAGCTAGTGGGGGACCTTGGTCCCAGCAGCCCTGGCAACCCCTCCCTCCATCCCACATCCCCTCCCCAGGTGTTCCAGGAGGTGCAGGCCCTGATCACCTCCTGCATAGACGGCTTCAATGTCTGCATCTTCGCCTACGGCCAGACGGGTGCCGGCAAGACGTACACGATGGAGGTGGGTGCCCGCTGGGTAGGGCAGGCGCCCGGACAGTGAGGACCACCCTGCTGTCACTGGTGGGGGCTCCCCTCACTGTTCTTGGAGTTCTGCATGGTGTGTGTTTTGCCTCAGTCTTCACAACCCCCCACCCCCGTCATCAGGGCCTGAAGGGGGCACCCTGCCCAAATGCGCCTGTGGTGGTCCCAGTGGGTAGGAGAGGCAGGTGTGACGACAACCAACCAGCAGCAGAAGGGTCTCGGCCTGAAGTTGAGTCGGTCTCTCAGGACCGGCTTTCATGGTGCACTTCCTGGGCTTCTCCGTATGGCTGCCCCGTGCTGGCCTGGGCCACCAGCATCAATGAGGGCAGGCCTCCACCCTAGAGGAGATCCCGGGCAGTGGGAGAGACTGGCCACAAAGACTGGTGCAGACTGTCGGGGGTGCCCGGCTCCTACCTGCCACCGGCAGGGCAGGGCTGTCTCCTCTCCTCGGGGAGCCAGGGTATTTAGAAGAGGAAGCATCTTGACTGTAGATAAAAATGGAAGGCTGGCCTTTGGTTTGTTAGCATTTCCCTGCTCTTGGGGGATGCTGTGGGCTTCCCCGGGTAGAAGAGGAGAGCAAGTGTCCTGCTGTCTGGACGAGGAGCGGAGAGGGCCCTTGGTGGGAGGGGCCATCAAAGGGGAAGCGAGATCCCAGGTGAGATTTTCTTTCAGAAAGACCAGGTGCTCCTCGGGCCCCAGGGCACGCAGGCTCCTCCCCTCCACCACCCACAGAGCCTGGGCTCAGGGTCTCCTTGAGTTGGGCCCCCATGGAGGCGGGGAAATCCTGGGTCCCAGGTGCTCCCTCCAGCAGCTCACCAGAGCAGGTGCAGCTCCGGGGCTCAGCAGCCCGTGTGCAGCCCCTGCCAGGCACTTCACCTGGGTGCTCTGCTTTTAAGTCTCAGGGCTCCGGTACCATTTTAAATGTGGGAAACTGAGGCCCAAGGAGGTGAATGAAGTTCTTGCAGCTGGTGGAGGGGCTTGGGCGGCATACCAGTGTGCAGACAGCAGCTTCAGGCAGGGGCTGGCCTGCGAGGGGTAGCTGGAAGGGTGCGGGGCCACAGACACCCTGTGAGCATCTGCATGGGCCACCCCTTGTGGTGGGAGGGGCTTAGCTCACTGGGGCCTTGCTTCTGCCCCAGGGGACCCCTGAGAACCCGGGCATCAACCAGCGGGCCCTGCAGCTGCTCTTCTCTGAGGTGCAGGAGAAGGCATCCGACTGGGAGTACACCATCTCTGTCAGCGCCGCTGAGATCTACAACGAGGCCCTCAGGTGGGTGGCCCTCAGGTGGGCGGCCCTCAGGTGGGCGGCCCTCAGGTGGGCGGCCCTCAGGTGGGCGGCCCTCAGGTGGGCGGCCCTCAGGTGGGCGGCCCTCAGGTGGGCGGCCCTCAGGTGGGCACTCGGGACCATGTAGAGCCATGTGGGGTGGTAAGTGGGATCTATCTGAACAGGGCAGTTGGGGGCTGTATCTCAGGCCTCAGCCCAGGGTGTCTGCTGGTCCCAGGCCACTCTGCCAGCCAGCAGGCAGGGGAAGAGGGCTCTCTCTGCACTCCCTGGGACACCCAGGTCAAGGTCCTCCTTTTCCTCTGGAAGTGTCCTCACCGTACCTGCAGGCGGCCCCAGGTGGTGATAAGTGAGGGGGCGGTTTGGGGGCCCTGCCCACAGGGGCAGTGCACCATGGGGGCAGTAGCAGTACCACAAGCCTTTCGGAAAATGGTTGGTCTTAGCCCTTCTGTAGACTGCGTGCAGGGGAGGAGCTGGAGGAGGAGGGGCTTCGCCCAGTGGTCCAGGAAGGCTTCCTGGGGTGATGGGTGGGTGGGGGACATTCCAGGCTTGGGGCGGTGCAAGCAGAGGCAGACCTGGGAGGAGAGACAACCCCCTCCCTTCCGCAGGGACCTGCTGGGGCAGGAGCCCCAGGAGAAACTGGAGATCCGGCTGTGCCCAGACGGCAGCGGGCAGCTGTACGTGCCAGGGCTGACTGAGTTCCAGGTGCAGAGTGTGGAGGACATCAACAAGGTGTGGGGCTGGGGAGTCGGGGCGGGGAGGTGCGGGGAGACCCCGCCCAGAGCGGAGCTGCTCTTGCTGGCCAAGTCCCCACACCTCTCTGAGCTGTTTCCTCCTCCATGCAGTGCAGAGGGTGACACCCGTCACAGGGGTACTCGGGGATGGGGTGGTTCCGAGGCCCCACTGCGAACCCTGTGCCTCTGCCATGCCCTGCCCCTGCCCCCAGGTGTTTGAGTTCGGCCACACCAACCGCACCACGGAGTTCACCAACCTGAATGAGCACAGCTCCCGCTCGCACGCCCTGCTCATCGTCACGGTGCGTGGCGTGGACTGCAGCACCGGCCTCCGCACCACCGGTGAGTGAGGGCAAAGGGCAGTCTGGCCTGTGCGCCCCAGGCACCTGCCCTGGGCGCCCTTGACTTGCCTGGTGCCCTCCCCACAGGGAAGCTGAACCTGGTGGACTTGGCTGGCTCTGAGCGTGTGGGCAAGTCTGGGGCTGAGGGCAGCCGCCTGCGGGAGGCGCAGCACATCAACAAGTCCCTGTCGGCCCTGGGGGACGTCATCGCTGCCCTGCGCTCCCGGCAGGGCCACGTGCCCTTCCGCAACTCCAAGCTCACCTACCTCCTGCAGGACTCGCTCAGTGGGGACAGCAAGACCCTCATGGTGGTGCAGGTGAGGGCCCCGGGTGGGCTTGGCCAGCACCAGGACAGGACCCTACCGGGTACCCAGGCTGTGCAGGGAAGGGGCCCTTGTCCTCAGCAGGTCCAGTGTCAGTGATGTGTGCCCCTCCAGCCTCCCCCAGTCAACCTGGCCACACCCCCTGTGCCTCACAAGTTCCTTCACTTAGGCTAGGGTCCCCTGGCCGTGCCCTCTGGTGAGCGTGCTGCCCCCTCCGGTTCTGAGGGGGCAGCTGGCTTGGGTGGGGAGTGAGCCCTCATGTCCCCTAGGTGTCCCCTGTGGAGAAGAACACCAGCGAGACCCTCTACTCCCTCAAGTTTGCTGAGAGGGTCCGCTCTGTGGAGCTGGGCCCCGGGTCCCGCAGGGCAGAGCTGGGGTCCTGGTCCAGCCAGGAGCATCTGGAGGTAGGGGATGGCACAGGCCTGTCTCGGGGGCACTGGGTCAGACTTCCAAGTCGGGCAGGAGGGAGGGTCTAGATGGGGTGGGGTGGGGATGCCAGAGGGGCTAGAACCAGAACTTGAACCCAAACCTAGTCGCCTCTTTAGTCCAGGGAGTATTTCTTGGCCGTAGAGGTATTTGTGGGATCATCAGCTGGTTTGGGGGTGGGCAGGTCACAGGTTGGCACACAGGTGCCCAGTAGTAGCTAGTTCACTACTTTACATATATTACCTCATTGAACTCTTGCAGTAACTGAGCAGGCATCATCATTGTGCCCATTTTGCAGATGAGGAGACAGTTTCAGGAGGCTGGGAGGGGAGTGGAGGGATGCATAGGGGGCCAGGGCAGCATGGCCCCCACCTACCTGCTCACCCCTGCCCACAGTGGGAGCCAGCCTGCCAGATGCCACAGCCCTCGGCACGAGCCCACTCAGCCCCAGGCTCTGGGACCTCTAGCCGCCCAGGCTCCATCCGGAGGAGGCTGCAGCCCTCGGGTGAGCCTGTAGGGAGTGGGTGGGTGGGTGAGTAGGTGAGCCTCCCCCACGGTCAGTCACGGCCCTGGGCTGTCCTTACCTGGGTTTCTTTTCTTTTAAAAACAAGTTTCTAAAACCTCCAGAGCCTGTTTCACAGCCTCCCGGGCCCTGGGAACTAGGGCAGGTAGTGCTGCCTCCATTTGCCAGAGAGGAAGTCGAAGACCCCTCTCCAAAGGCTCCTGGCTGGACTGGTGACTTGAGGCCTAGGACATGAGTGACCCAGGCTGGGCTCATGCATTATGCCCTTCAAAGTAGGTCTGGCGTCACCAGCCCTGGGCCTCAGCTCCAGGGGAGGAAAGGGCAGAGCTCACCCCAGGTCCCAGAGGAGGAGTGAACCTGGTCATAGGACTGGAATCCAGGCCTCCAGCCCCCGACATGGCCCCACTCACAGAAAGGCCCAGCAAGTTCTTGAGTATCAAGGCATAGGGGCAGCAGGGTCCTGAGGGGTCCTGGTCCAAGGCAAGCCCACCAGTGAGACGCCTGTTGCTTTGATTTCAGCCTGAGGCTGAGGCTGCGGTCTCCAGGTGAGTGTGGGGCCACTGGCCCAGGGCTACCTGCCACCTGACCTCCGCCTTGGGTTGCAGGGCTGTGCTGGGGAGCTGCTGCTCAGGGCTGGGTCTGTCCTGCTGCTGCCTGCTGTCTTGTGTGCTTCTGCCTGCTCTGCCTGCTCTTCACCGAGGCTAATGAGTGCCCTTCCCCTGCAGGGAAGTCGAGGCCGTTGCCTGTGTGATGGACCGTGTGCCAGAGGCGGGCCTGAGCCTCACTGGCCTGCTCCCACTGCAGCGCTGGGAGCCCGGGAGGCGGAGGCCAGAGAGGCGGCTCCTGTACTGTCTCCCCTGAGATGAGAAACACGTGCAGAAGGAAATGGCGTCTCTCTGCTGTGGCTCTTGGTGCAAATGACGAGGGCTGGAAGGGCGGGGCTGGCCTGCTCCACCTGGCAGGCTGACCCTCAGGGGAGGGCAGCAGTGTTTGGAGGGTGGCCCCGGCCCGAGCTGGCCCCATTCTCCCAGCCTGCGGGGTGCCCCTGTGGTGGGTGGCCGAGAAGCCCCTGGGAGGCACAGGAACCATGGGAGCGGGCTGGTTGGTGGGCACCCAGGGGCTGTATATAGTGTCCATTGGTGTACATAAGAGCACGGCCCAGCCTGCCACGGCCGGACTGTATTTATGGCTGGCAGGAGGCGGGGGCGGGGATCCTGCTGTTCCTCTCATCCGCCTGACACCAGGCTCTCCTTGCTCACTGGCCTCTTGACGTTTTCCTTCCTCTGAAATCCTATTTAAGAACTTTTGGAAGCTTAGCCATTTTTACTTATTAAAATAAAAGCCTTTTTACACAAGCATGGTCTGAAAGAACGGGTTTGTTTGCCCCCGGTCATCAGGAGCAAGGCGCCGGTGTGCTGCTGGTCACCTGCAGCCCTAGACCTGCCCTCGGAAAGGACCACAGGTCCTAACTGGCCCCTAAACAGTGCTGTCAGCTCCCTGTCACAGAAGGGAGAGGAAGGCCCCTCCGAGGCTCGGCAAGACCATGCTGGGGCCCTGGCTTCTCCCCATGAGTGAACCGGCCACAGGACAGCACGTGCTCCTCCCAGGGCTTCCAGGATCCCCACTCCAGTGCAGGGCAACCCCCCAGTCATGGGGTTGTGTTGGCCTAAATTTGGTCCTAGACTTGGGGGAGCCTGTGCTCGGTGGACTCCTCCCTCCAACTGGGCTGAACTGCCAGCTGCCTCAGGAGCAGAAGGGATACCCACCGCGTGACGGCTGCAGGGAGTGGAATCTGTTCAGAGCCCTCAGGATGGGGAACTACCCTTCCAGCCTGGCTCTGAAGGCTTCCTGTGGGTCAGGGGAGGATTCTGGGGTGGCCGTGCCTGTGAGGCCGGGGTCCTGGCATCCTGCAGTATACAGCTGTTGGCCTTGGAGGCGTCCACATGACATCTGGGAGTGCGACAGAGGGGACGGTGGGGCCCACTCTTCACCTGTCTACCAGCCGTGGAGGAAGTGTTGGTGCCTCCTCCTCATCTCCCCCAGCCCACAATAAGTCTGAATTGGCCCTTTCCTGTTGGCCTGGCACTCTGCTGCCCCCTTCTGGCCACACAGCCTGGTGCAGGCCCCTGCCAAGGCCAGGCCGGCAATCCTGCACCTGGGAGAGTCCTGGGGCAGATGCCCTTCCCAACAAGAAAACCAGGGAATAGTTACAAATTTAATAAAATTTGCCTTATAAATTACAGCAGCAGCCCAGGGCGTGGTTGGCTGCCCCAGGAAGCAAGAGTTGGGCAAAGCTGGGCAGCTGTTGCTGGACAGAAGTCTGAGAGTTCAGGATTGTGGAGGTGGCCAGTGGGCCAGCGCTGCCACCTCCAGGATGGCCACAGGGCAGCAGTGGGGGCAGGGCAGAGACTCATGGACCCGTGGGTGCATAGGGAACAGGAGTGGGGGCTGAAGCCAGGCCCCAAGGGCTGCCCGGTTCTCCCACGACTGGATTCCTCAGTCCAAACTGGCCATGAGTAGGTGCAGCTCCCGGAAGGCACTGCCGTGGCGGCCACTCAAGCCTGACTTGCTCTTGACGAGGCCGCTGATGCTCTTGAGCTGCTTGTAGCAGAGCCGGCACTTGTGCAGCCTGTGGGCAGAGGGGCAGCACTTGAGGTAGCTGGCTGCACAGACACCATGACCCCCACCTGCCTGGGGCCTGTCCTGTCCTAACCACTCCCGCCCCTGCCCCAGACCATGCCAGGCCATGGAGGAACTCGTGCTCCGGCTACCCCCACCCTACACCTGAGCCAGGTCTCTGTCCCAGGCACAGTGACCTCTGGAAGCTGCGTCAGCAGGGCCCCCAGACCTGTGTGTCCATGCCTGGCATGGAACCCTGCCCCCAACAAAGGCCCGCTGCCTGGCCCCTCACCTCTCCTCCCTGCTGATGTCAACACCCACAGAGGGCGGGGCTGCCAGGATGTCAGTGATCAGGGGCAGAAATCGCTGCAGGATCAGCTTCAGGGAGGTGCAGCCTGTCTGGACATAGCTGTAGAGGCAGATGGAGGGATGGAGCCACAGACAGATGTATACACAGCAAGTACACAAAGACAGGCAGAGAAAGGATCAGAAACAGCACAGGCTCGTTTCCACTGTGGCCTCTGGAACTTGGAGGGTAGAGCAAGGCTGCACAGCCACCTCGCGTCCACCCCAGTCTTTCCCATGGTCCCTGCCCTCCCCTCTGCTATAAGGCAAGTAGGGTTTCTCCACACGTACCTCTCATACTTGCTCTGCAGAAGCTTCTCAATCTGTGGCAGAATGGTGGTGCACAGGTCCAGTTTCCACAGGGAGCTGGGGAGAGGCCCAGGGACAGGTGCCCTCAGCACCCAGCCCTGCCCACTGTGCCCGCTCCCCCCGCTGCGGCACTTACGCTTTCTGGTTGACGATGTTAAGGAGGTCCACTACCACTGACAGGTCATTGATGGCCACGGCCGAATCCACTGACGTCTGCGCAAACAGAGCACCTGTCACATAGAGGACTGGGGACAGAGTGGCCCTGCCTGGGTGTGATGATGGGGTTTATTGTGGGATGTCAGTAAGACCACTTAAAACGATCAGTGCGAGGCCAGGCCCATAACCAGGAACTCAGTAAATGGCAGCTTGCGATGATGAGGATGGAAGAAATCAAGTCAACCATAGTGTGGTGATAGGGGCCACCACCACCCCCTGCAAGTTCCTGTGGCCCTCTTCTCGGCTGGGCCCTAAGCCTGGGGCAGGAGAAGGCACTTGCCTTGATGTCGCCTGTGGTCCACATGGCCCTCACGGTGTCCAGGTTCTTGTGGCGGCTGGTGAGCACCACGCACATGGTATCGTGGCCTTTGCGGATTTGCGACATGGCATCCTCGTCCACCAGCTCTGTCTGCTGGGGGATCTTCACAGCCTGGTGGGAAGGGGCCCACATGCTGGCAGCAAAGCTCTGCCCTTGCCCCATGGGCCTCCACCCCACCCTTGGGCTGGGCCCCCACTTACAGGCAGGAAGTCAGAGGCCTTGAGCCCAATGGGCTCATTCCGGGCGGCAGGGATGATGGCAGGCTCAGCCTTGGGTACCGGGGTGGAAGTGATGACCTGGGGCCAGGACAGGACCTCAAGCTGGAGGGGTATGAAGCTCAGTGGGCAGCCAGCGTGAGGGCTCCCTCTCTCCCCCCAGATAGGAGGCCCCTAACCCTGGTGCAGGGCTCCAGCCCCTCTGAGGCTCACACCACGCCCTTCTACCCGGACATACGTTTGGCACCGGGAACTGTGTGTCCATGGCTGGGCTGGGCTTTGCTGCCTCTTTGGCTGTGGCCGTGTCTAGAGGCAAAAGGAAAAGACCTCTGGGTCAGAAAGAAGGCAGGGCATGGGACGGGACTCTGGACAACATCTGTAATTGAAGGGACCGAGCAGGAGCCAGTGGGCAGCCAGGGAGGGAGACATCAGCCATGGGGGTCACGGGGAGGACTAAGGGCTGGGGTTGTCCCCCACTTTCTACGTACTCAATCCCAGGCCTGGCAGAAAGCGGGCATGGAGCACCGTGTGTGGAGGGGACCCGGGAGCGGCAATCTATTACCTCGCCGGGAGTGTGCGCCAGGGGCACCGGTGGGGAGTGGGTGGCGGACAGCCTCAAGCCCCCACCCAGTGGGCCCAGCTTGTTCCTCCACAGCACTGTCATGTTTCTGACCCCTCTGTGTGGCCGTCTATTGTTTGCCTTCCTCTTTAGGGTGTGGGCTCCCGAGGGGAGCACCTGCCTGCCTTGTTCACCTGGGACTAGCCTGGGGCTTGGCACATAGTAGGTGTTCTTGTGCGAGTTGGAGAGGACTGAGGAACTGGGAGGCCAGGCTCTGCCCCATCCCCCAACTCACCATCTTCTGGGGGTGCTGGGAAGGGCTCACTTCTTCGAGGTGGTGTCCGACCTGTAGAGATGAAAGGGGTTGGGGACCCATGGTGGCTGCCCAAGGCTCCTTCCTGTCTGAGCCTCTAGGGCTTAGGTGGCCTGGGACCCAAGGCCCTGTCAGGATGTGGGGGATGGGAGGTGGTTCCCAGGCATGTAGCTGCAGACCTGCAACCCTGTCTCGGCCTACAAACCCTCAGGCCTGCCCTTTCCCACCCACATGCCCCTTTGGGCTTTCCTTTGCTTAGGGTGGACAGGGCACTGGGTGGCTGCCAAGGTTCTGCTGGGGCCTGGAGGACCTGGGAGCAGAGCCTGGCTGGATGTGGGTTAGGAATTAAGGGAGCTGCGTGGATGCCATCCCCAGAAAGGATCGTCTGTGTCCATTTCACAGATGGGGCTGCAGGGTCACAGGGCGGGTGCCAGGCCTCACTGATACTGTTCTTGGGCTGGAAGATCTCGTTGTAGTCCTCGGCATTCTGGATCTCTGCCCGAGACTCCCGCTCATCCCGGTCATCCTCGCTGCTGGGGCTGCGGCGCTCACTCTCTGAGTTCTGCTTCACCCTGCAGGGTGATGAAGAGAGGCCGGGGCCAGTGAGGCCAGGCGGGGCCCCCAGAAGCCTTCCTCCAGACAGCCCTGCTTCTTGTGCCCTCCAGTGCTCCGAGCCCACCTCTGAGGCTTGCTGCAGGTTGTGCTGGGCCGCTCATAGATGCGCCGAAGGGGGGCGGTGGGGAGGGGCGGCTGCTGCGCCAGGGGTAGGCTGTCCTGCACGGGGTCCTGGGCCACCATGCCTGTCCTGGTGACCCGTGTCAGGTCCACCACATAAGAGGAGACGTTGCTCTGGGAGAAGGCCACGCCTATCTGCAGGAAGCGGTAGAGCTGGGGTGAGACCCTTCCCAGCAATGGCCAGGGTATAAGTGGGCAAAATCCCCGCAGGCCCAGGTAGGAGTGGGGGCCTGAAAAGCTCACGGAGGCAGCGGGGCGGCTGGGTGGGAGGCGACTCTCACCAACTGGTTGTTGCAGATGGCCAGGTCGGCCACCTTGCCCCAGTTGACTAGGACCACGTCAAAGCAGCGCTCGGGCTCCCAGCCGTAGACACGCAATGAGTCCTGGCAGCCACTGTATAGGCAGCAGCCGTCGGGGTTGAAGAGGATGCTCCTGGGCCAGGAGAGTGGGCCGTGGGTCCCAAGAAACTCGGAGAGGTTTCAGGGAGCCCAGGACAGGAGGGAGTAGAAGCAAGAAGAGAAAAGCCCACCCACATGCACATCCCACTTCCCCAGGAGAAGGGCTGGTCCTACCACTCAGCAGCCTGCATACCTGACAGGCCCTGGCTCCCCTTCGATGCAGCTCACCACCTGGAATTTCTCCAGATCCCAGAAACGGATAGTCCTGCAAAGGCAGCCAGGCTGTGCTGGGAAGCGGGCACAGCCAGATTCTGCCCACCCCGCACC